GTAAGAGGGTTCCCTTTTCTCCACACCCTCTCCAGCATTTATTGCTTGTAGACTTTTGGATAGCAGCCATCCTGACTGGCGTGTAATGGTACCTCATTGTGGTTTTGATTTGCATTTCTCTGATAATGAGTGGTGTTGTGATGCTCAGCTTTCTTTATGATCCAATTGTCTCATCTGTACATGACTACCAGAAAAGCCCATAGCTCTGATTCTATGGACCTTTGTCAGCAAAGTGATGTCTCTGCTTTTTAATACACTGTCTAGGTTTGTCATAGCTTTCCTTCCAAGGAGCAAGCGTCTTTTAGCTTCTCAACCATGGACAATTCCGTCTCCAGAAGACATTCAGCAGTGTCTGGGGCAGTTTTGGTTATCACAGCTGGGTTGAGCAGTGCTACTAGTATTTAGCTGCTAGAAGCCAGAAATACTGCTAAACATCCTACAATGCACAGAACAGTGCCCCAAACAAGGAAGTACTGAGGCCAAAATGTGAGAAGTGCCAAGGTTGAGAAGCCTGGTCTACAAGGGCAAATATGCTACGATCAGTTCTATCCAGTTGGCTCAGGAATTTGAGTCCGCATGGCCACTTGTGTTCTTTTCCTGACTCTATCATTGATTGGCCTTTGCCTCTGAGCAAGTTACTTCCTGGCTTATGTTTCCTCGTCTATAAAATAGCCCTTGTATCTCTGATCTCCATTTTCCCTCCTGCCTAAGAATCTGTGGTTTTCACAGGGTCAATATTTGTGCTTTCACTGAACTCTGCTCCTGTGAGAAGAATGTCTAGACCAAGATCTGTTGATTCTGCTCCAAGTCAAGATGATAAGCTGGCTTCCTGTGTGGATCCTGAGTGTAAATTGGGGAGGGCGAGTATGACCTCTGCCCAGGACCTCCACTAGGAGGTCTTTATCTAAGAGCTTAGTTTTCCCATCAGCAAACAAGAGACACAACCTGTCTGCCTTCCTACATCAGGAGGAAAGGCTTGAGTAAATGAAGCAAGATGGAAAATTACCCAGACGCTACTCTGGTGACCAGGTCCAAATTATACACACACCCCCGCCTTGTCCCCCCTTCTGGGGGGCTCCGAGGTAGTGAAGGGATAGGAGGGACCCCACTCGAAGCCAGCTCAGTGGCCTGGGGTGCTGGACTGGGGAGGGGAGGCGTCAGTCCCTCTGTATGGGTCTTTGGAACTACCTGAAGGAGGACCTTTGTCATCTGTCTCCCTTCAGGGAAGAAAGACTGGGATTCTTGGCCACTCATTTTAGACCCTGGGACTGGCAAGTGCCCTCAGATTCACTCTCTCTCTTTCTGCCTCTCTCCCTCCCTCCCTGGCTTCAGATGCATTCCCCAAACAGAAAGAGCCTTTCAAGGCTGTTGGGCTGGAGGACAAGGGCAGCTCTGGATCACAGAAGAAGCAAGGCTCTGGGAGGAAGGAGAGAGGCTCCCGTCTGGCCCTAAACACAGGTCTTTTCACAGCTCCTGTGGTGCTGGCTATAACCACAAAAGCAGGAAAGGGAGACAGGGCAGGGCTGGCTTTGGCAGCCGCACTGGTTTCTGTGTGACTGCGCTCCCTGCGCTGGCAGCATAGCCTCAGGTCTGCGATCGGAGTCTGTGTCCTCCTCCCGCTAAACCAGTGCCATCTGACGTGGCAGGCTATGTGCAATGAACAAACGAGCCCTCCCCTTCTTTAATGGAAGAAAAACGAAAATTCAAAGACATTAAGTAACAGGTCCAAGTTACTTAAACTGCTAAGCAAGTGGACTTCTATTAGTTTTGTTTACTATTCAGTTTTCTTCATCGAGCTTATCAACAATCCATGTTCCTTAGTCAGTTGACCACATATTTCCCATTCTGTATTGTTCATTGTTTGGATTTTGATTGGGGTTGGTTTTTTTTTTTTCTTTCTGGTATAATTTACATTCTGTAAAATGTACAACTCTTAAGTATACAGCTCAATGACAGACACACACCCATGCAGCCTGCATCTGGATAGAAGTAGAAAACATTTCCATCATTTTAGAAAGTTCTTTCACGCCTTGTTCCAGTCAACAGCCACCCTCACCACAACAGGTAACCACTTTTATTTTTTTACTTCTGTCACCATAGTTATAGTTTTGCCTATTCTTCAACCTCGTATCAACCTCATATTCTTTTGCTCAATATAATAATATTTTCTAGGTTTATCCATGATGTATGTGTAATTTTTTCTTTTTATTTTGGGATGGCATTCTATTGTATGAACATACCACATTTTGTTTATCCATCTTCCTGTTGATGGATATTTGGATTGTTTTCAGTTTATGTTCACGTGATTTTTTAAAAATTAGTGTCATGGGCCTATTTCAATTCTCCACTCAAATGAACTTTAACAAAAGTCACCCTCCACAGGTTACAGCATGTGAGGGAAAAGAGGTACCAGCTGACCTTGATGGTCCTTTCATCCCTGGGGTCCTCTAATTCAACCTCTTTTCTGATTAAGAGCTACTATCAAGCTCCTATATTGTGACAATGTTTTCTCTGAACTGCAGAGCAGACAGTGGTTGCTTCCACACAGAGCTGTTAACTCCTGCACCAGCAAAGACAACAGGTCTTATTCAAGTCCAAGAAATACACCCATTCCATTTCTTGTCACCAAATGATGTATAATCACGAAGGAAACATGCTCTCCTCTTCTACCCACTGGAAGCAACTTGAGCAAGGCCAGCCACCATGGTTGAGATGTAAATAAATGTGTCTACTCCAGCCAGCTCTCCTGTCCTCCATGGAAAGCTACAGTAGTTTCTCCCTTGAGGTGTGTGGGAAAGAACCAGGCTCACAGAGGGACTGTGGACCAGTTCTCTGAAACATTTCTGGCAAATGGAGCTGCCAGTTCCTTCCATGAATTCCCATCACTCCTTCTTCTTCCTTCTGCTCTTTGTCTAACATTGGCTTTAAACATGTCCACACCACACCTTTTGAGCCTAAGTGCAGTGCACCCTGAAACTCCAGCACAAAGTCAGGCCTCCGTTTAACCACAGAAAAGGTCTTTCTGGGCCGTGCAAAGAGAAGACTGGTGGGGAGTGCCCTGGCAGTGTAGTGGTTAGGACGCAGCACTCTCCCTGTCGCGGGCCCAGGGTTTAATCACTGGTCAAGATCTAAGGTCCTGCAAGCCAAGCGGGTGGCCAAAACAAAAAACGAAAGAAAGAAGATAAAAGCTTGGGAACAATCATTTGGATGATACACATAAAAAATAATCACTCTGCCTTAAGATTTATTCAACAAATACTGTTTGAACCCACAAAGACATGAACTCCTAATGGCCTGAAGGGTTACTACTGTGCTGTCTAACATCCAGCCTGAGCACGCACCAGTGAAGTCCTCCTGTCCTCACACATCTCCTAGGATAGAACAGACCACAGGGAAGGATGGGGGCTGGGGACACAAGTTCCATCTCATTCCCTCTTGTTCTCTCTCAGCCCTTGATCTCACCTTTCTTCCACACCACACCTCCTCTTCCTTTTCCTAATGAGTTCCATTTTCTCTACTAAGAAAAGGGAAGAGGACAATCAGGTGTAGATGTCATTGCTCAACAGCCTTTCCTTGAGCCTTTCAGACCTCTCATCTCCCCTTTAAGCAGTCTGTCCCTCCAAGTACCCCCATGTGTACCCCAGGAACACCTCGTCTGCACCAGCTGACCTAATCCATCACTGTTTTCCCAGCTCCTTCAAATCGAGACACATACCCCCCACATCCCACCCACTTGGCTTTTCTNTGCTGGAGAAGACTCTTGAGAGTCCTTTGGACAGCAAGGAGATCTAAGAAATCAATCCTAAAGGACATCAACCCTGAATATTCACGGGAAGGACTGAGGCTGGAAGCTGACGCTCCAGTTTTTTGGCCACCTGACCTGAAGACCCAACTCATTGGAAAAGACCCTAAAGCTAAGAAAGACTGAAGGCAAAATGAGAAGGGGGCCGCAGAGGATGAGACAGTTGGATAGCATCACTGACTCAATGGACAAGAGTTTGAGCAAGCTCAGGGAGTTGGTGATGGACAGGGAAGCCTGGCTTGCTGCAGTCCATGGGGTCGCAAAGAGTCGGACATGAATGAGCAACTGAACTGAACTGAGTCAGATAAATTGAAGTTAGGGAGGCTGTTCCCTGGGGTGCTAATGAGTGCCCCATGGGGTCCCAGCTCACATCTCTCTCAACCTCACAACAGGCAGGGGTGGTGCCTGTCTGTTACTTGAACTCCTTGTTCCTTTCCCTGGACAGGTCTCCCCCCTTCTCTTAAAATGACGACACTGAGTATAATCAGCTGCCAACAGCCTCAACCCACCCCAGTCAGTCCCATTCCAGCCCCTGGCCAGCACCAGCTCTGATGGCGCCATCCAAAATCCGAAGCATTTTCCTAACCTCTCCCCACCCTCCACCCACTTCTTAATCTTTCGAGAACAAATTCTCCCTGACCCCAGAATTTCTTGAAAAAGAAGAAAAAGAAGATGAGTTTCCTCCATTTTGACCCTTGATGAAATAAACTAGGTGTCAGGGTTTTTGTTTTTGTTTTACTAAAATCTGATTCAGAAATGAATAGCCCTGAACTGGGTTTGGATTTTAAGGACAAACCCAGAAGAGATTGTGAGGGTTTTTTTTTTTTGTTTTTTAAATTCCCCCAAAGTAGCCAGGAGGTGGATTTGCTAAGCTGTGGTTGTTGGCATGAAGGATTGCGAAGGCAGGAAATTCCCCACATAGCTACCTCTCTTCCTGAAGTCTGCTGCGTTCAGAGGCTGGCCTAGTCCATGGCTACCTCTCCGGGGTTCCAACCCGGCCACCCACTGGCTCCGACAACAGGCTGGGCCACTGGGCCGCTTACTGTAAATTACAGCTTCATAGTGTAACTCCACACCCATTCATCAGATCCCTCCCAGGCGAGAATGCAGGGGAGAAGATGGGATTTAACTCACAGACACACTAACCACTTCCTCCATAAAATTTCAGCACTGTCCTCCTTCTGTGGAATCTAGTCAAAGAGCAGCCAAGATGCCCATCCCAAAGAACTTTCCATTCTGAGAAATTCCTTCTGAATCTTTCATGCCTACCTCCCCAGAACACACACACACACACACACACACACACACACTGCATTCGCCTAGCTATAACAAACATTCCGAACACCTCAGTGGATTAACATACTGAAGGGTTATCTGTCTCTCACGTTTTAACACCTGCTTATGCCAAAAATTGCCTTGATTGTGAATTTTGTTCTAAATTATATGTCTTGCCTTCTGGTCATAATTCTTGGAGGAATTGTGACTTACACATTTTCATGTAACGGAGATGTCCCTCTTTACAGTCTATAGTCCAAATAGCAAACCTCAACCAGGCCTCAGGTGGTAGTAGCTGGAAATCCAGTTTATATTTTCCAAACCCACAACTCCTTTTCTCTATATATCCAAAAACATCTGAGTTCTTATTAGTATGAAGGGTAGGAGATAGAGGAAGAGAATATGCAAAGGAAATGAGAAGTCTTGGGAAAGTTGGCACGGGTCAAATCTTATTTAGCCCGCTCTAGCTCTGCTAACATCAGTGGCAGCCTAGTGGCTGGGGAAGAGTTTTATTTCCATGATTGCAGAGTTGAAATAAGCAAAGTCCCTCTTGGAACCCATCCCTGGACTAGGCTCAGTCAAGAAACTACACCAGAGGGAGGAAGATTTGGAGGAAAGTGGTCAGAAGATACAAAATTTCAGTTATAAAACAAATAAATACTAAAGATGTAATGTACAACATGATGACTAGTTAACACTGCTCTGTGATATATGGAAAAGTTGGTAAGGGAGTTGGTTCTAAGAGTTCTCATCACAAGGAGAATTTTTTTTTCTTTTTATTGTATCTCTATGAGATGATGAATGTTAACTAATTGTGGTAATCAGTTCACAATACATATAAGTCAATTATGCTGTACACCTTAAACTTATACTGTGAAGTATGTCAATAGCTTCTCAATAAAACTATGAAAAAAGAAAACCACACCATCAGGAAACTGTACTCAATGCTCTGTGGTGACCTAAATGGGAAGGAAATCCAAAAAAGAAGGAATATATATGCACATTAAAAAGCAGAGACATCACTTTGCCAACAAAGCTCCATATAGTTAAAGCTATGGTTTTTCTAGTAGTCATGTATAGATGTGAGAGTTGGACTATAAAGAAAGCTGAGGGCCAAAGAATTGATGCTTTCAAACTGTGGTGCTGGAGAAGACTCTTGAGAGTCCTTTGGACAGCAAGGAGATCTAAGAAATCAATCCTAAAGGACATCAACCCTGAATATTCACGGGAAGGACTGAGGCTGGAAGCTGACGCTCCAGTTTTTTGGCCACCTGACCTGAAGACCCAACTCATTGGAAAAGACCCTAAAGCTAAGAAAGACTGAAGGCAAAATGAGAAGGGGGCCGCAGAGGATGAGACAGTTGGATGGCATCACTGACTTAATGGACAGGAATTTGAGCAAGCTCCTGGAGATGGCGAAGGACAGGGGAGCCTGTTTTGTGCTGCAGTCCAGGGGGTCACAGAGTCAGACATGACTTAGCAACCAAACAATGAACAACACAATATGTATATGGATGGCTGATTCATTTTACTGTTCGTAGAAACCAACGCAGCACTGTAAAGCAACTCAGCTGCTGCTGCTGCTGCTAAGTCGCTTCAGTCGTGTCTGACTCTGTGCGACCCCATAGACGGCAGCCCACCAGGCTCCCCCGGCCCTGGGATTCTCCAGGCAAGAACACTGGAGTGGGTTGCCATTTCCTTCTCCAATGCATGAAAGTGAAAAGTGAAAGGGAAGTCGCTCAGTCATGTCCGAGTCTTAGCGACCCCATGGACCACAGCCTACCAGGCTCCTCCATCCATGGGATTTTCCAGGCAAGAGTACTGGAGTGGGGTGCCATTGCCTTCTCCAGTAAAGCAACTCTACTCCAATACAAATTTAATGCATATGTGAAAAAAGAAAACTACACCAAAACTCGGAGTCTCCCAAGTACTCCTTCATCTGCTTCTCAGCTACTACTGGAGAACTAAGTCAGGATGGCATCCAGCAACCACTGCGTGGACCCAGAACCGTTACCCCTTGGTCTCCAGCCTCACTCAGATGGACCCATCAGATCTCTCTCTCTCTCACTTTGAGAATCCAGTTGCCCATCCCTGCAACTGGCTGTGATGAGAGCATCATGGTGCCAAACACAGTGGATCTCCCTAACTCTGCAGTCAAGTGCTCTGCCCTTGAGCTATACCTCCATCTCCCTAATTCTGCATCTCAGGAGGAAGGCACAAATATATATAACAGATTGTATTAATGTTCACCAAACATTCCATTTTTCCATCCTATGGGAGAATTATACAACCCTGCCCTGCTGAACTCGGGAATTTCCCCATGACTTGCTTTAGCCACTGAAATATGGGAGGAATTGAAATGTGAGATGTGTGTCCCTTTGGAGCAGAAACCGTAAGAACCAGAGTATGGCTTACCTGAACCTTTTTTCTTCTGCTATGATGGCCAAGGAGTGCTTCATATAGAAGCTGCTCCACTAGCCAGGATCCTCAGACATCAAGAAGTCAAGCCATGGCCAACTCAGGATACACAGGTCACATGAATGAGAAATAAACTTGTATTATTGTTGTTGGGAATCACTGAAAGCTTGGGGTTATTTGTTAAAGCAGCATAACCTTGCAAATTCTGTCTAATATCCAGTCCTTCCCTCTCTGAGTACCC